CGGAAAAATCGTATGAAAGTCCCCAATTAAAAGGACATCGAAAAGAAATAAAAATTCAGTTTAAAAAAGAAAAAAAAAATGTATATATATAAAATTCATGTTCGATCTTTTTTTTTTTTTTTGTAACGCAGGAACCCGTAGCCAACCATGTAAAATATAATCGTTACACCATCTAGTACCATTTTAATCTGGGAGGAGATTGGGTTGGTTTTTATCCACCAATCGATCTATTACCGACCATATTTTTAGACGGATACTAATTTTTTAACTGACCAGTTAGATTGTGTCGAAAATTTCAACCAACCCATATACACCGGGTCGGTTGGTGGTTTATAATATTAAAAGTTGGTTATAGTATTAAAATTTATAAAATAAAGGGTGTGTTTTCTTAATTACTTTAAATTTCTTAATTATATTTTTTTTGTCAAATATCTATTAATTATTTTGAACTGATAAATGATAATCGCGCAGTGGCACGGCGCAGAATGTGAATATTTTTACTCAAAAATTTGAATTTTTTTAAGTGAATTAGATCAAACGACCCATTTTGGAACCAAATATTCGGTTGTCAACCATCAACCGACCCACAAAGATTTGGTCAGATTGGCAGCGATTTTCAAATTTGAACAAAATTGGTTTGTCGGATGAATCGATTTAAAGATTGGTAATCGACCGATACAACCCAATCTCAGTTCTAATTTTAATTACGTAACGAATCTCTCACATTTTACATTGGTATATACGTGAAAGTTGAAACAAGGATTAATATTTAATATTTATCTTGAATCATAACTTGGATTTTGGAATAGGGTATTAAATCCACAATCTTGGATTCGGGTGTACGCCAATAACGAGGCATGTGCCCACACGCGTAAATTCAACGAGAGATTATAAAGTGGCGCCAGAGTCGATCTTAGGGCATCTTCCACCCTACACCATTTTCTATATTTTACACCTAATTTAGGTGTTTTTAACCTCCTAGCCCAAATCCCTATATCGCTATTACAACTAAAATTATGATGATTTGGTTTTAGTCTCCCATTGTGGTCAAAACCTATATCACCATATTACTAAATCCTATATTTTCACCAAATTTTTTGGCGAAGAAATTTACATCTCCCACCCTTCCACCATTTTACTATTTTTTTCACCAAATCCTATTTTTCCTATCAAATATAGAAATTAAAATAGGATTTGGTGTAATTAACACCATTTTATAATTAGCATATAAAATTATTATATTAGATAATTTTATGTGATTATCAATTTATAAACATATTTATAGAAAATATATTAGTGTTAATTAATGAATATGATAATATATAAATATATTAGTATATTAGTATATAAATATATTTATAGAAAATATATTAGTATATTACTAGAAAATAATAATAATAATAATAATAATAATAATAATAATAATAATAATAATAATAATAATAATAATAATAATAATAATAATAATAATAATAATAATAATAATAATAATAATAATAATAATAATAATTATTATTATTATTATTATTATTATTATTATTATTATTATTATTATTATTATTATTATTATTATTATTATTATTATTATTATTATTATTAAAAAAATAATTATTAGTATGGCTCTAATAAGTTATATGTTTAAACAATAAATATATTTATTATTAATTTTGTTGTAATATTTTTATGCATTAAGTTATGAAATTATGTTTATGTGTGATTTTATTATATGTATAATAATTTACGTTGATTTTCATTCATGTTTCAATAGTTTTTTTGAAATTTATCACAATTTTAAAATTATATAATTAATAATTTTTTTTACTTATAATCGGATCTATAATCAATATTTTTTAAATTAAAATAGGCTAAAATTATGATTAACATTAAATTTATAGTTTTGTGATATATTTGGTAAAATACCATGGGAGACCAAACCAAATGCTATTTTATATAAATAGGAAAATGGTGAAATATTATTATTTTATTATTTGATGTAAAATCTGATGGAATTGGTGGGAGACTAAATACACTATTTTTTCACCAAAAGTAGTGAAATCGTAGAATGGTGTGCTAAGGGTGGGAGATAAACCCATTTTTTCACCACAAAAAATAGGATTTGGTGAAAAAATAGTGATGACGTTGGAAGATGCTCTTAGAGCATCTCCCACTCATCACCAAATCGTATAATTATCACCTAATTTAGGTGTATTTAGTCTCCCAATATAAATCTCTAAATCACCATTACCCCTAAAATTATAGTGATTTAGTTTAGTCTCCCACCCTGGTCAAACTCTATATCACTATATCTCTAAATCCTATATTTTCACCAATTTTTTTTGTAAATAAATTTTCATCTCCCACCCATCCCACCATTTTACCATTTTTTTCTACCAAATCCTATTTTTTTTTATCAAATATAGAAGTGAAAATAGGATTTGGTGTAATTAACACCATTTTATAATTAACATATACAATTATTATATTAACTAATTTCATGTGATTACCAACTTATAAATATATTTATAATAAATATATTAGTGTTAAATAGTGAATTAGTTTTCAAAATTTAAAATATATTATTATTATTATTAGTATTATTATTATTATTATTATTATTTAACTTTTAAATAAATATAAAAATGTTTGGCCAAAATAAATAATATTTTTATACAATAAATACATTTATTATCATAAAACAACAAAAAGGGGTACTCTTATGTTGAAGATGATGACGATAATAATGGTGAATGAGACTCATCTACTAATAAGGGGTACTCTTTCATTGTTAGGCGAAACAAGGTTTTAACGAGGCCCCTCTTATCAATGAAATAATATTTTTGGGAAAAAAAATGTTGTAATATTTTTATGATTAATGTATGTTGTAAGGTTATTAGGAAATAATTAATGAAATTATTGTTTATTCGTGGTTTTATTATATGTATAATAATCTAAGTCGATTTTCATTCATGTTTCAATAATTTTTTGATATTTATCATAATTTCTAAATTATATACTTAATAAAATTAATCATTATTCATAATCAATATTTTAGTAATAAAATAGACTAAATTTACAATTAACATTAAAATTATAATTTTGTAATATATTTGGTGAAATGCCATGGGAGACCAAACCAAATCATATTCTCTATAAATGGTAAAATTGTGAAATATTAATATTTTATTATTTGGTATAAAATTTGATGGAATTGGTGGTAGACCAAATACACTATTTTGTCACGAAAAATAGAGATTTGGTGTGCTGCGGGTGGGAGATAACACCATTTTTTTCACCACAAAAAATAGAATTTGGTGAAAAAATAGTATTAAGAGTGGGAGATGCTCTTAAATCCAATATTTTCACCAAACATTTTGACAAAGTGACGCTTTCATCGGAAAAAGATATAAGTTGAAGTGGAAATATTGTATAGTAATTTTTATTGATGTTTCTTTTATTTTTAAATTCAAATCCGTATTAAATATTTATTTTTTTCTCTCTCTTTTTTTTTTTTTTTTTTGATTTTGTATAGAAAATTAGAAATGTTACAAGTTTGTTTTTTTCTAAAAAGACATCCACGTCGAGAATAATTATCAGGTGGAATTCGATATTGATCCCACACGAACTCAAATGCCGGAACTTATGATTGTTGGCTATTATCCGGTGGAATTCGAAATTGTTCTTAAACGGACTCCAATGTTGCTTGATTTAACTATTTAAAAAAAAAGATAAAAAAGGGTCGGATCCTATGATTGTTCGCGACGATACGTTTGACACATATCCACTAACTAGGGGTGTAAACGAGTCGAGCTCACCTAAGCTCAATCTCTTATTTTATTTTTTATTTTTACATAATAACGATGTTAGTTGTATTATAAAATAGTTATAAGATATTAAAAAAGTTATAGAATAAAAAATAAAATGGACACTTATTATTTAATTTATATATATATATAAAGCTCGTGAGTCGACTCGTGAGCTAATGAACAATTAAGAATGGGCTCGAGTCCGAAAACCTGAGCTTGAACTCGAGCTTTTGTCGTGCCGGCTTATCGATCTCACAAGCTGGCTCGATTCATTTACACCACTAGCAAATACCCACAAGGTCAGAAAAATTGGATGTGTCTTCTTCTTCTTCTTCTTCTTCTTCTTTTGTGTGTTTGAATTACAACTGGAAGTACCAATTTCTTTAACTTTCTTCTTCTTTCTACGTCTCACATAATTTAATCTCTTAAGAGTTACAAATCACAATTTTTTTCACAAATATTGGAGTCTGAGATACATTATTTTGACAAAGAGAAACTCTTGTTGAGAGAAATTCAAGCAAATTGCAAATATTGTAAAAAAGAATTACGTTCTTTAAGGTTATTATTTATGTTGAGAAACTAGGAAATAATATACAAGAAGAATTGAGTGATGTAGGTAGGGGTGCAAGTTGGAACGGATTTTCCAATTTCCCCCGGTTTCCGATCCCAAAAGTTTCCGATTTTGGAACAACTTTTTTTTATTTCCGACTTCCCGAAATTTCGATTTCCGAAATTTTCCGATTTTTTTGGATTAGAATTGGAATTATATAAAATAAATTTGGAATTTCCGATTTCCGGTCCGATTTAATCCGAAATTAATTCCGAAAAATTCCGATTTTTTTCCGAAAAATACACATATAAATAGTATATATTATATGACACTTATTTTCCGAAAAATACACCTATAAGTTTTGTTTTAGGATTTTGACATAATGAATTGTTGTTAGAAGTTTTATTGGATATTATGCTGTGTTTATTTTTATTTTATTTTTTTGAACTGAAATTTAGTAGTTATTAGTTTTACTTTTATCGACGTGGATGCTCTTATTTTCGAAAAGTAATGAACATTTTAGAAAATTTCGGCTAAGTTTTGAAATTTTCAAGCTTATGTGATTTCCGATTTTTTTCCGAAATTCCGAAATTTCCGGGCCTTTTGGAATTGGAATGAATTTTTAGATTCCGAAAATTTTGGAATTGGAATTGGAATTGATTTTGTACTTCCGATTTTTTTTGGAAATTTTCCAAAAAGGCTAATTCCGATCCGATCCATCCAACTTTCACCCCTAGATGTAGGGATAATAGACATATTATTCTATATCTTTAAGTGTACCAAATACAATACATTGCACATAATTTTTTTTCGTTTTGAATTACTCAAGAACTACACTGGAAAACACATACTGGAAAAAAATCCACGCAGTACATCAAAAACACATACTGAAAAAAAACACGCACCACAACAAAAACACACACTGGAAAAAATACACACTGCACCAAAAACACTCATTGAAAAATAATATACGCACTACATCGAAAACACACATTGAATTATACAACAAATACACTGAAAAACACTCAATGGAAAAAAAATCACGCAATACATCAAAAACACACACTGAAAAAACACGCACTACACCGTATACACTCACTTAGAAAAGAAACACACTACACCAAAAACACAAGATGAATAATAAAACACGAACTACATCGAAAACATACACTGAATTACATAATAATTACAATAAAAAATAAACACCCAAAGAAAAAACAACGCGCTAAACCAAAAACTTACACTTCAAAAAAAACACGCACTACACCAAAACAAACATTGAATAAAATGCACTACACCGTGAAACACACTGAAAATTGAGTGTACTTCTTGTGTAATTGAGTGTGCGGTTTTTATGTAGTATGTGTTTTACACAAGAAGTACACTGAATTTCTAGTGTGTGTTTCACGGTGTCGTGCATTTTATTCAATGTGTGTTTTGGTGTATGCGTGTCTTTTTGAAGTGCGTGTTTTTGGTGTAGTGTGTGGTTTATTTATGTATTTTGAATTTGAAGTTGATAAATTTCAATTGTATTCTAAATATAATCTTATATATAAAAGAAAGAAACGCTAGGGCAACCCTAAGAAACCCTAATGTCATATTTGTAATTTTTTTTTAATTTTTATCAAACTTTTATCTCCTTAATATTATTTTAAATATTATTTTTGAATTTTATCATATTTGTATCCCCTAAATATTATTTTAAATATTATTTTTTTATTTTTATCATATTTTTGTCTCCTAAATATTATTTTTTTTATTTTTATCAAATTTTTATCTCCTAAATATTATTATAAATAATATTTTTTTAATTTTATCAAATTTATATCTCCTAAATATAATTTTAAATATAATTTTCAAATTTTAGCAGATTTTTATCTCCTACATATTATTTTCGAATTTTATCAAATTTGTATCTCCTAAATAATATTTTAAATATTTTTTCGAGTTTTATCATGTTTTTATTAGTTTTTTATCTCCTCAATATTATTTTCAATTTTTATCTGATTTTTGTCTCCTAATTATTATTTTCGATTTTTATCAAATTTTTATCTCCTAAATATTATTTTAAATAATAATTTTGATTTTAATCATATTTTATCTCCTAAATATTATTCTAATTATTATTTTCGTATTTTATCAACTTTTATCTCATTAACATTATTTTAAATATTATTTTCGATTTTTATCAAATTTTTATCTCCTAACTATTATTTTAAATTTTATTTTCGATTTTTATCAGATCTTTATCTCCTAAATAATTTTTTTTGATTTTTTATCAAATTTTTATCTCCTAAATTTTATTTTAAATATTATTATCGATTTTCATCAAATTTTTATCTCTTAGATATAATTTATAATAATCTGATTTTCGATTTTTACATAAAAGGGTAAATAAATTTGATTTTCATACCTAGCGGATTTTGTGACATCGTTTTATAGAATGTCTGCAACATTTGAATTTTATTTCTTCCCTACCTAAGGCTTCTTTGTTTGTGACGGACTCCGTCACAACCATGAATGACGGAGATTGGACGGAAAAAAATTGTTAGTGACGGAATCCGTCACAGAGTTTATGGAAAATTTTGGCCTAATCATTGACGAATGGATGACAACAATAATTTGTTGTGACGGAATCCGTCAAAACGTTTAGAGACCTTGTATATGGTATCAGTGACGGAATTAATTATGCTTCGTGACGATGCTATCCGTGATAACAGATGTGACGGAATTAAAATATCCGTCACCAATGTCATTTGTGACCAGGGTTTTTCTGACAGTCCGATTCGGTTACAACGCCGTCACAAAAGCTTACTTGTGACTGATTTTGTTCAATTTTGTTACGAAAATGTCTGTCACAAAAGCCCTGTTTTTTGGTAGTGTTATCTTCTTCTTCATCCTATTGACTGTGTGGTAATTAGTTTACATCTTTTTCCATCATGGCTTATAGGTAATTTCATTTTGTTAAATTATGTGTTTCATTAATTTATACCAAAGATTTCAAATTTTATGTATAACAATTATTTCATTTTATATGTTATTGGACATGTTATTGAAATTGATGATTTGAGAGAATTAACCGAAAATGGGCGGAGCCACAAGCTATTGGAAGTCGACATTCAAGACTTATTGTTTGTATGCGATATTTAATTTATAGTTTATATTTATTTTTGTTTCTTAATTTTCCAATTGTTAATTCCAGTGGCAAAACAGCCTTAAAATGAGGCAGTGGAGAAGGGCTTAGTTCCGGTGCAAGATGTGTAGATGGTCTTTTACGATGGTATGTTGTCGATAGTTTAATTTTGATTATGTTAACTAAGTTATTGAATCTAATTACTTTTAAGCTCAATATGAAAGACATAGTTGATGATTTTTTTCCTGGTTCAAATTTTCAATCTACTGGTATTAGCTGATTCAATTCATTTGGAAAATTATTCAACAGTAAAGTTTTTTTTTTTTTTTTGTGTGTGTGTAGTATACTTAATAATGTTCCACTGATGAATTACTAATGAATGATTATAAAAGAATTTTGATCATACGATACATCAAACGTTTGTTTATATTCTTACAACATCAAAACAATGCAATTTGTTGTCATATGCATCGCACGGGTACAATTACTAGTTTGATGTAATTAACATGTGCCAAGCTGGCAACCTACCCGTTGTAGTCAACGCCAATCCAGTAAATGCTGAAAATGCATTAAGCATGGACACTTCGTGTAATATATATATATAAAATATGGAATTATTTGACTCTGGCAAATAAAACTTATATTTGGATGTGCCGGCCATCACTTATTATGTACATGCACATATGCATGTAACATGTTTTATATGCAATCAAAAATCAGATCGACAATCTTTTCTTGCAAAAATTACATTTTATTTAATTATTAATACAAAGTGTATACATTTATAATAACATTATTGATCATATGTCGTGCTACCTTTAATTTTGGATGCATCTTAAGATATATATATATATATATATATAGAAATGCGACAATTCAAATCCAATTTTAAATTAGATACGGTAGTGACGAAGCCACTAACATATATTTTTTTTCGTAAAGTAATATTAACGCCTCCGTAAGAAAAAAATCTCAATGCATTGGGCCCGTGAACTAAAAATTTTGACTTCGCTGGTGCGTATGGCGTAGATCTACTTGACTTGGTCTTTATTTGTTTTTATTCATTGCATTCATACAAAGTGGTTGTATAGTTCATGTTTGAATATGTAAATATAAATATATAAATATACATATATTGAAGCATATTGTGCAAACAAAGTCATCTATAGCACTTGGTTGCACATGCCATGTACAAGTAGGCAATATAAATACGTCTCTTTGAAATTTTCAAGTGGATATCTGCGGCTAGTTGACCTTATTAATCTCTCATTCATTATTATTATTATTTTTTTTTCTATAGTGAAGTTGACATATTAATCAAATTGAAAGGCTACTAATAGCTAAAGCATAAAATAATTTTTAAACTTTTTTTCTTATTTTCCAGATATAATTGTATACTGTTTCAAATAATCTTGTAAATGTTACTATCGGTGAAATACATCGAATAGTAAATTATCGCAATATTTCACATAATTATATATTATACATATAAGATAGATTGAATATGATAAGATGAAATTTATGAAATGCAGCGGTATAGTTAGTGAATATTTCAAAGTCAACTCCTGAATTGAAGACTTTCTTCGGTGCTTCCTTTTAATTCCCTTAGCTAATAAGTACTTTTATACAAGTGATTAATTTGTGAACATTGACAAAAACCATTCCACTACTAATAACTTATTAAATCATTCGCCATGGTCGGAGCTCCGGTTTCCTACTCCGGCAACCAGCCCCAGTCTCAGCCACCCAACGGTACGAAAAAACACGAAAATTTTCATCAATTTTGAACTGCTTTACTTGTTTTTTTTTTTTTTTTCTAATTAATTCTTTGATTAACGTACTAATCCCGATCCGGTGGTTAATAATTCAGATGCGTCGAAGTACGCGCCACCACCATCTCAGATGTACGCCACACCCAGTGCACCGATTTCCACGCTCTTGCCCTACGGCGGACAAGCGCCGCCGCCGCCAGGGGGATCGGCTCCGGCAGCCCCCGCAAATACAAACTACAACTACCCCAATAACCCAGCGTCTCCTTTCCCGCCGCCAAATTCCGCCCCCTACCCTGGGAGCTCAGCCGGCCCACCGCCGCCCTTTCCTTCCCCCTCAACCGCGCCGGCCAATACTTACCCCCCAAATCCAAATCCGAACACATACCCCCCAAATCAAAATCCGGCGAACACATACCCCCCAAATCCGGCGAACTCATACCCTCCGGCGAACACATACCCTCCGAATCCGGCAAATTCATACCCTCCGAATCCGACAAATTCATACCCTCCTAATCCTGCTTCATCAGCCCCGCCGCCGTACACCGGCGGTTATCCACCAAACGCAGGGCAGAATCCGCCACAGCCTTACAACCCTAACGCTCAGCCGCCGCCGTCGTATCCTCCGGCAGGATACCCTCCGCAGCGCAGTAACCCTCAGGCCCCAAGTGGCTATCCAACCGGTAAAAAATCGATCAAAAATCTCAAATCCAGATCCGATTATGCACCAGATTTGAATCAAAAATATATATTGATGTGATCTAATTAGAATTTTTACAATATTATTGTAGGTCAACCGACTGGAAATTACGGCCAGCCGCCGCCATCTGGATATCCACCGACAAGCCAAGCACCAGCGTATCCCACCGGAAACTACTCGGCGCCACCACCCAGCGGCGGTGCATACCCACCCCCTGGCGGAGTCTACCCACCCCCGTATTAATTTAAATGAAGAATATTGATTGATGTATTTGAGTTTTAAAATTACCATTTTATCCAAAAACATTTTGAAGTTGTCAATTGATAATTGAGATGGTTTGTATTTTGATTAGTTAGATAGGGATTTAAAATCCTTAATAATAAAAAAAAAATTGTATTTGTTTTCATAGAGAAATTTGATGATGAATTTGAAATCCATCATCCCGTATTTTATAATTATAAATTGCGTATTTTATATTATAAATTGAGTTATCAGTACTGATTTCAAATGACTCCAATTTTTCTTACATAAAAAAAATGACTCCAATTTAAATTCGTTTAAAATCCTTCTTCCAAATTCATTTTCCAAGTCAAATACATTCATTTAAATAAGAGCCTCAGAAGTCATTAGATCTATATTCCTTCATTTAAATTAAATATACTATATTCTTTTCTTTTGGGTAAAGTCTATTGCCAATTTTACAAAAAAAATCTCACAACTTTGTAATTTGTTAATGAAAAATTTCTCACTTGTTTTAGCAATTTAATTTAGACGTTGATTAACCTGTTTTTGTACTTTTTTATATCCTAGTTAAGTAAACTGAGACTCAATGATTAAAGAGGGCGAATAGAGCTACTTGATTGAAATTAGTTCACTCAACTGATTTGTGAGGACAAATTGAAAAAATAAAACATCAAAAGAAAGAGCGAGGGACCCTTAAAAAACAAAAACGAAAACGAAATTTAAAATATTGTCTAGCAAGAAACTCTTAATTAATTTTGCCTTACTTCATATGTTTTTAGTGTTATATCGATTTGCAAAAGTAACAAGTTTCATATCATTCCATAGTCTTTTATCCTTTTTCCCACAATACTAGTAACAAGTGATTTGAGATACCCAAAATTGATTCCATTGAATGCATCACAAAAGGAAACACAAATCCCATAACATTTCTCAAATGAACCTTAGCTTAACCACTACAAGCCACATCATAACCATTATAATTTGAAAAAACACAAACAAAAACGAAAACGAAAACAAAACTTACATAACTTATATGTAATTTTTATTTTAAATCCAAACGTGTGCACTTCCACACCCTTGCACCATATTCTCTACGACATTGCTCATAACACATCAAAGCTCCACGATATTTAAGTTAAGAGCATAATTGTAACGAAAAAAAGTTCGTGCAAATGGCTTTTGAAAAGTTGTTTGATTTAGATATTTAGTACTAAAGTAAATCTCAACTTTTGATGTGTATATTAGAATAGTTAGACTCGATATTTCGTAACAAAGATAATTTCAACTAGAGTTGACTTGTACTACAACCTTTTCCGTAACAATGATCGCGTAAAACATTATAATACGTACATTTATATAATTCAAGGTTCTCGGAATAAATTGCATGTTGAGTAGTGTCTCTGCTTTGATAGTTTAATGAGACTCTCTCTATCCAGTAGGTGAAAGTTCTCTCACATGACAGAAATGTGTAAATACAGCAGATGTGTGCACTTCCACACGGTATTAAATACGTTTCACTATCGTACAACAAACGGCATTATTGGAAAAAAAAGAATACAGAACCCGAAAAAAAAAAAACAAATACATACATAAAATATATAAGTTTAACTAAGAAAAAAACAAAAACAATTAAAAACTCAAGACTTGCAAAATGCATGGAGTGTGTCATCAAGGGCCTTTCTGTCATAATCACCCGTGAAAACACAATTTCCGAGTGGACCTTTCAAGAGTATCAGCCGTAGGAGACCGTCCGCAACCTTTTTATCAACCTGCATTTCAAGATACCGTTTATTCCAATAATCCGATGAGTTATAGATATTTCAACCAAAAAAAATAAAAAATGGTATTTAATGTTTTTATTTTTGTAAGAGTGCGTCGCTCTCTTACCGCCATGACAGACTTAAACATTTCGACAGTCATGGCTTCTGGTGGCGTCGTGGGTAATTTAGCCTGCTGCAAAATCATATCCACCCGCTTTACTAACGAATCGTCAATCCAGCCTAGCCTGTACGACATGTCAACCGCCATTACCTGAAAATGTTCACACACCATTTTTTAGCACAAGCAAATATAAATCAAGAACCGTAAAAAAAAAAAAGAGAAAATACTAAATAAATAAATAAAGTAGTTCTCGAGAGTAACATACTGTTCCAGCGGCAACGGCCTCCCCGTGAAACCAATGCCCATATCCAGAACTAGTCTCGATTGCCTGCAAATATCACAATTTCATGGGTAAAGCTAACAGTGACAAAACAATCTTTGAAGGTTAAAAAACAAGCCAATCACTTATTAGGGCTTTTGAGATCCTACACCGGGTGAAATGCACCGGGTAGATCTTTACCATTCATATACACACAAACACACACACACCCACATTGGTGTGTGTAGATCAACGGTAAAAAATCACCCAGTGTAACCTTCACCGGGTGTAGGATAGAAATAACCCACTTATTAGTTATCAATTATCATGGGCTCGGAAACACCCGATTGCAGTTAATTAGAATAACTCCAATTTCGAAGAATATCTATGTATTGAGAAATTGATACTCACATGACCAAAAGTGTGACCCAAGTTTAGTGTTGCCCTCAATCCACTCTCCTTCTCATCCAAGGACACCACCTCAGCCTTATTCTCACACGAGCGTTTGATAGCATAAGCAAACGCATTCGGATCCCTGCATAGAATAAAGCACACCCTTTATTATTACAAATTAATATTCGGGTCTCGTTTTATCATATCTATCTCAGATTCGTTAAACAGTTCAGGATGCAATTTTTCACTCATTAAGTAGTCGGCCTCCAACAAATTTAGATTGGCAAGGAAATACAGAAGATAATTAAATTAAGCAAGCACCACACTAGGCTTTCTAGTACTTAATCCAAGAATAGTGGGAGAATTAATATGAGTACCTTGCCAGCAAGGCGTGCATATTCTTTTCCTGCCACTCGAAAAATTTAGCATCTCTAATAAGTCCATATTTAATGACTTCTGCAAGCCCCGATGCTAATTCTCGATCCGGTAATGTGTTCAATGTGTCGGTGTCAATGAGCACACATTGTGGTTGATAGAATGCTCCAATCATATTTTTTCCGAGAGGATGGTTTATTCCAGTTTTACCCCCGACTGAAGAATCAACCTAAATAAGATTACAATGTAAAGTAAGTAATAAATAAATTAAATTAAGTGTCAATATATTATCTTTCATTTAACATGCAAAGATGGAGAAGCAATTTGTCATTCTTGATCAGACCCTAAGTTTATTAAACAATTTACAGGTACTCTTTTCAATGAAATAAACAGTTAAAAAAATAAAAAAAAAATAAGACCTGTGCCATAACAGTTGTAGGAATCTGAATAAAATTAACTCCACGCAGATAAGAAGCTGCGGCATATCCGCACATGTCACCGATGACTCCGCCACCAAGAGCAACAAATGTACACCGTCGGTCCATTCTCGACTCGATTGCTTTATCGAAGACTTTCATCAGAGTTTCCTGTGAAAATCAGAAAATAGTGTCGTGTTAAATTGAGTCGGAATTATTTTAATTATTGTCGGACAAAAATATCGTGAAAAGATTAGAATAGCCCACCATGTTCTTGAATTGCTCCCCGTCTGGCAAAATCACACTCTCGACTTTGATGTTAGGGTTTTTGTCTGTTAAAGCCCAAATAGTTTTATCTAGATACAATGGCGCGACTGTGCTGTTGGTGACCACGAGAACTTGCTTGCCATGAACATGCCTACAATAATTTAGCAGCTTGAGATTAACATTATCTGAGAAACGAGTATGATTTTGTGCAATTATCTTTCAAGGAAATTTTATCTGCACTGCACTTGTATGTCAAGTATCAAACAACAAGCATTCATTTTCGAGTTTCTACTTATTGACAAAATAAAGACTTACACGAGTCTTATCAATTACGTCACTTAGAAATAAGCGGACTTCTAACCATGAATCATGAAACACAGCAAGGAAAGAAATTTTTCAAATGTTCGAGTAACTTGATAATAAAGGAATCCAAGAACATGAGGAAAATAGTCAAAACTACATGATAGCAACCAACATATCTCTTAAAACTGAAAATGCACAACGGAAAAATATGAATAACTTAGAAGCATGTTTACGGTCTCACTGGTTAGGAAAAAACGCATACCACACCACGGTGGACACTAAAGGAAGCGGAAATTTGTCCTCCTACCCTCCCTTCGACTACACACACACAACCCACCTAGCTTAAAAGTTCCCCTACACCTCCATAATATACCACAATTAAACTTTCTCAACTTCAATATTGTATCTTTTGCGCCAAGTTTACACATGTTCTTACCCTTTTATGCCCTTAATACATTCATAATAACCAGATTTCATTCATTAAAACATCTTAAGGGTTGCTTAATACCAAACATCAAACAAAAATCCAATTATTTAGTTAATCATGGCTAATCTCCCCAACCAAACGAGGTCTTACTGTACGGCTACTCTTAAATAGGAGCACCACGTGAATAAGCAAAAACTACATTTCACAATGCCCACTGAACTGATCAATTTGCGAACTACATAATCGTAAGCTACTGAACAAATTAACCAATTGAAAGTACATGATTTTTTTTTTAATAGAAAGAGAGTATCACGCTGAATAAGCAAAAAAGATACCTTTGGAGCAGGTCGGGTTGATTGAGAAGGCCGGATCCGATATAAATCGGATAGCTCCGATCACCCAAATCGACATCCACAGTCGTCGGTACAGCACTCGAAGAAGAAGAAGTGGGCTGATCCATTACCGGAGTTGCCGCCGCCGACGCCTTCACCGTCGGCGTTAAAATACGATTGTTAGAATCAAACAATAGACGACACCGCGAAGAAATGGAAGAAGACGAAACAGAAAAGCGGCGGAGAGAGTGAAGCGAGGTGAGCTGATTGTGGTTGTGCGAAGGGGTGGAGAGAGAAATAGTCCGGTTAGGACAAAAGGAAGGAGCAGCAGCTGCCATTTACGGCGGTGGCGGGCGGCGGTGGAGAGAGAATTTGCGGCTCCAATCAAATTTCAATTTCAATTTCAATTTCAATCTGAGTGTAATTTGCAAATGTGCTTAATTTGATATAAAAGTGATTGTATGGATTGAATTTAAGATTTTGGAATCGTGATTGTTGTGTGTTAAATCTGATTGTTGGTTAGGTATTCGGGTTTGGTGAGTGGTAGGTGAATTGGGTTTTTCTTTTTCTCTTTTTTTTTTTTCTAAAAAAATAAGGTGTAAAATTGAAAATAAAAAAATGTAATGTGTTAGGTGAGGATTTCATTTCAATTTTTTTAAACTTTAAATTCGATTTAAAATCAGTTTGGTTAATTTTATATTAAATATTTAATTAGGTTTTAGGAGTTTTTGGGAAAAAAAATGATTTCTCTCTCCATGAGAGGCGAATTTCTCTCTCCATGAGAGGCGACTCCATCCGCTTCTTGTTAATGTGCAAGTTGTGGATCGACTAGGATTTTTTGTTTTGAAATTTTCATTCTGATTCGATCGCATGTATTTACTTGTCCATATTATATCGTTACCTAAGTCATGTGTTTTTTAGGGTTTGGTTTATTTTTTCAATTTTTTACCCCGTTGCATTTTGTTTGGACCCGTCCGCTTTTATTTTCTTCTGTAGCCGCTTACCATCTATCCCTAATTTCCCCGACTCCTTGTGTTTGAATCTCAGGATCTGTCTACGCCTTGTTGGGGCCCCAGTAACTCGCCACTCTCCTCTCTTAATCACACATCTCTATCTCGATGGATGGGCTCATGGAATCGATGGCGAAAAGATTTACCCTCACATGCGAGGAGGAGGAAGGGTTGGTTCTAGATGCGGGGAATCTGCAACCTAGAGTTTCTACCATCAGTCGACGGTTGGTTGGAAGAGTAGTTTCCGAGAAAGAGATTTCTTTTCACACTATCAAAGCAAATGTTCTCCGCCTTCTCCAGCCAGTTAAGGGGTGCGATCTACTGCCCGTATCCAAGAACAAATTCGTCATAAGGTTCAACCACAAACTAGACCATGCTCAGGCCTTGGAGGGCTGCCCTTGGCTACTGGACAAACACGCCCTATTATTTCACGATCTGGCGGATGGGGAGGACGTTAACGAAGTGGAGGTGAAACTGATGAAGATCATAGTTCGTGTCCACAATATTCCAATGGCGTACAGATCCACGGAGACGGCTAATCTTATCGGCAATCGGATAGGCTCCTTTATACAGATTATGAACCCTCAGCAGCTAGATATCGCTAGCTATATGCGAATCAAAGTGGAGATCGACACGTCTAAAAGTCTCAAAAGAGGATTTTTTATCCACGATACGAACGGCGCTAGGGTCTGGTTGGATTTTACCTACGAACGATTACCGAACTTTTGTTTCTTATGCGGCGTTCTTGGGCATGGAGAACAGAAGTGCCCGAGGAGATATGAGGATGAGTTTGAAGAACCAGGTGAGAATTTCCCGTATGGAACTTGGCTCCGAGCCAATCAGACCTCAGCAAACCAAACCGACAAATTACCTCTCCAACCGGTGTTACCCGCGTCTGCTAACTTCCTGAACCATCAGCAGGGATCGACCTCACGAGGACGAGGCATTTTTGATTTTGATCAGAGAACCCCTGGGACAGCCATCCAGCAGAGCTCGAACGGAGGAAAGGAGAACAATGAGCCTACGGGACTGATGGAATGCAGCCTGATTAATAATCCTATCCAAGTATCGCCCACAATTCCCATTGGACCATTTCCAATAAAGACAGCACACCCTTTGTTTACGCGACGAAGAAACAAGCTCAACGGCGGAGACTGCCTCGCAGTCCCGCCGATACCAATGAGTTGTCTATTTTGGAATTGTCAAGGGTTGGGGGTGCCCTTGACAATTCACTCATTCGGAGATATCCTCCGAATTTACCACCCCTCAGTGATGTTTATTTCGGAAACGAAAGCGACATCACACTTGGTAGAGAGACTAAAGAAGAAATGTAACCTATTTGGGGTATCGGTTGACAAAAACAGACGAGCGGGAGGGCTCGCACTTTTCTGGCAAAAGAACGTGCAAGTAGACCTTATCTCTCTTTCGAATCATCACATCGATGTGGAGATCACTTCTTCGGACACCTTAGAGAAATGGAGGATTACAGGTATTTATGGCTATCCAGAGCACGATCGGCGACATTTAACATGGGACCTTCTCCGTTTGTTGTCGGGACAACGAAATCTTCCATGGATTGTGGGCGGGGACTTCAACGAGACGCTCTCTACGTCTGAGAAGGACGGAGGAAACCCTCGACCACTCTCAATGATATTGAGTTTCCAAGAGGCTTTACGGGACTGCCAACTCACTGACTTGGGTTACTCAGGATCGATTTACACATGGTCGAATAAACGAGAAGCACCACTAACCGTGAGATGTAGACTCGATCGGGTGTGTGGAAATAACAACTGGCGATCCCTTTTTCCACTGGCCCAAGTTCAGCACCTGGAGTTTGGAGGGTCTGATCACGTGCCGATTTTACTCACCCTTCGAACCCGGGACACAACTAAGAGGGAAAAGAGACGCCGACCATTTCATTTCGAGGCCATGTGGATCCGACATGAAGACTGTGCAGACATTATCCACGAGCAATGGAGTGAGCAAACGGAAACCGATCCAATCGAAGATTTGTTGACCAAAACGGAGAGCTGTAGAGCAGCGCTTATGCGGTGGAGCGGGGTTGGTCTCCACAACCCTAGGAAACGCATTGCGCCTATCCAGCAAAGACTTCACCTTTTGAACATGGCAAGGAGCTCGGCAGATGACATTAGGGAAATGAGAGAGTTACAAATGGAGCTCGAACATGCCTATCAGGATCTTGACACTTATTGGAAACAACGGAGCCGAGTGCAGTGGATGAGGGAAGGAGACCGGAACACAGGCTTTTTCCATGCGAAGGCCACAATTAGGAAACGGACGAACTGGGTTCACAAGCTCAAAGATGACTCGGGAGAATGGAAAGAAAACAAAGCCGATATTGAGCAGGTGATTGCAAAGTATTTCTCATCGATTTTTCAGTCCACCCATCCAACGGAGAGTGTGATTGAGAGAGTGCTGCTAAACATCGAGCCAAGGGTATCCAATGAGGCTAGCCAGTTACTTTCTCTACCTTTTACAGCGGACGAGGTAATACGAGCTATTTCCCAAATGTCTCCCACCAAATCCCCAGGCCCTGACGGCTTCCCGGTTTTGTTCTTTACTAAATTTTGGCATGTTCTAGGGAATAATGTGCTTAATTGTGTTCTAGATTTTCTTAATAACAAAAAGCTCCCTAGAAAATTAAACTACACCTTCATTGTTCTCATTCCTAAGGTTAAAACTCCGGAAAAAATCTCCGAGTACAGGCCGATAAGTTTGTGTAATGTTATATACAAATTTGGGTCGAAAACCATTGCTAATCGTATTAAACCCTTTCTGCAGAATATTGTCTCTCCCACCCAATCAGCCTTTGTGCCCAAGCGCCTTATCACTGATAATGTTCTTGTCGCGTATGAAGTAAACCACTATATTAAATCTAATACTAAAAAGCATACAAACTTTATGGCGGCTAAGTTGGATATTAGTAAAGCGTACGATCGAATCGAATGGTCTTTCTTACGGAAAATTTTATATCGACTTGGTTTCCCTACATCTTTGATAGAGCTGATTATGCTATGTGTTTCTTCTGTGACTTATTCTTTTCTTTTCAACGGATGCCAGTTTGGATCGTTAAAGCCGAATCGAGGACTTCGACAAGGGGACCCACTCTCCCCATACCTCTTCATTTTGTGCACGGAGGCTCTCCTAGCAATGATCGGCCAGGCTGAAATTGACGGATCTCTCCAAGGAATCAAAATAGTTCCCACCGCGCCAAGTGTTTCATGCCTCTGCTTTGCGGACGACACCATCGTGTTCTGCCAGGCAACACCGGAGAGCGCTATGACCCTACACCGGATACTACAAGATTATGCACTTGCTTTGGGCCAAGTTGTTAATCTTGAAAAATCCACAATGAACTTTTGCCCCATGACACCACAAGAGACGCAACACTTGATTCAATCCACCTTGGGTTTTCAAATAGTAGCGAGGCATGAAAAATATCTCGGTATGCCGTTTTCTATGGGGAAATCAAAGCAGGCCATTTTTGGGTTCCTAAGGGATCGGATTTTCGCTCGCATAGAGGGATGGGGTGAAAAACAATTATCGAAAGCAGGAAAGGATGTCCTCATCAAAGCGGTGCTCCAATCTATTCCCTCGTATCTCATGAGTTGTTTTAGTCTCCCAGTGGGTCTTATCTATGATTTGGAGAAGGAGATTCAAAGGTTTTGGTGGAGTAATGGAAAAGCTCGCTCGATGTCTTGGGCACCGTGGGTCAAGATGTGTGCTCCTAAAGAAAGCGGGGGCATGGGGTTTCGGCACCTTCGTTCGTTCAATCTTGCAATGCTGGCTAAACAAGTATGGAGGATAGTTACAAATCCGGAGCTATTGTTGTCCAGGCTGCTTCGTGCAAAGTACTTCCCGTCGGGCAACTTCTGGTCAGCACCAGTGGGGCTCCGCCCGTCGGCCACTTGGCGGAGCCTCCTCCTTGCTCGCCTCCACGTCAAAGATGGCCTACGGTTTTCGTATTGGTAACGGTGAGCACACCTCCATCTGGGGTGATCCATGGATTAAAGAGGATGGTAACTTCCGTATAATAACACGCATGCCGATATACTCCGCTTTTCCGGACAAAGTGGCAGATCTAATTATGCCCGACTCTCGTACATGGAATTTGGAGCTCATCGACGAGACGTTTTGGCCAATCGACCGCCATAGAATACTCACGACCCCCATTGGTAGTACCCACGCAAATGACCGGCTGGTGTGGTACTATTCACGCTCCGGAGATTTCACGGTCAAATCTTGTTACCATAACATTATGCACCGCCACAGCACTGGTAGCGGAGACCATGAATACGAGAACTCTTCGCGGAGTGAAGACAAAGAGTTTTGGAAATTTATTTGGCATTTGAGTATTCCACCAAAGATCAAAATCTTCATTTGGAGAGCTGCTGGAGATCTTATCCCGACCAACGCTGCACTATTCCGACGACATGTTTCATCTAACCCATTTTGTGGCAGGTGTAGGATTAAACCCGAAACAACCGTTCATGCTTTGGTCCACTGTAGGAGCTTAAC